GGATGTGGCGCGTCAGTACATCCATCACCAGAGCAAACAAAAAAGGGCTGAGTGTCGACCCCTAATGCAACCCCATCATCACCGGAAAATGGTCTGAGTCCCCACCTACCGTTCTCACTCGGGTCTTTACTCCATCATACATGTCCTTAATCAACCTAACGTAGGCAACAGGTACACCTCTAGCCTCCAAACATCTCCACAAAACCTCCCTCAGAACTTTATCGTACGTCTTTTCCAAGTCGATGAACACCATATGCAAGTCTTTCTTTCTCTCCCTATACTGCTCCATCAATCTCCTAACAAGGTGGATGGCTTTTGTAGTCGAACGCCCCGGCATAAACCCAAACTGGTTCTCAGAAATACACACTCCTCCTCACCCTTAGCTCTACCACTCTCTCCCAGATTTTCATAGTATGGCTAAGCAACTTGATACCCAATTTTGGATATCACCCTTGTTCTTGTATACAGGAACCATCGTGCTCCACCTCCACTCTTCGGGCATCTTCTTCGTTCTAAAAATGACATTAAATAACCTAGTGAGCCACTCCAAGTCTGCCTTGCCCGCACTCTTCCAAAACTCCGGTAGATTTCATCCGGCCCGGTCGCTTTGCCCTTGCTCATCTTATGCATAGCCCCCTCAACTTCATCAACTCTAATCCGCCTACAATACCCAAAGTCACAACGACTCACGGAGAGTTCCAAATCACCCAGGACAATGTTCCTGTCCCCCTCCTCGTTCAAGAGACTAGGGGAGTAGGTCTGCCATCTCCGACGGATAAGCCCATCATCCAACAAAACTCTACCTTCTTCGTCCTTGATGCACTTCACTTGGTCCATTTCTCGCGCCTTGGCTAACCTGAACAACCTCTTATCAACACCTCGTCCCTCGGGTTCCTCATATAAACGACTAAAAGCTGCAGTCTTGGCCGCTGTAACTGCTAACTTTGCCTTTTTCTTAGCCAACTTATAATGCTCCCTATTCGCCATCTTCTCCTCGTCTACACTTTCCACTAGCTGCAGATACGATGCTTTCTTGGTTTTCACTTTTCCTTGCACCTCTCCATTCCACCACTAGTCTCCCTTGTGACCACCAAAGTAACCCTTTGAGACCCTTAATACCTCTCTTGCGACTTCCCTAATGCACTGCGCAGTCGTGGTCCACATAGCACTTGCGTCCCCACTACTTCTCCAAGTCCCCCATAGTCACCAGCTTGGCCCCCAGCTCCTACGCTTTAGCTTCCGTCAAGACTCCCCACTTGATCCTATGTTGGCTATACATCGCCTTTTTCCTCATGATCTCAAGGTCCATGACCAGGAGCCTATGGAGGGTCGAGAGGTTTTCACTCGGGATGACCTTGCAATCCGTGCAAAGACCTCTATCGGACTTCCTGCAGAGTAAATAATCAATCTGAATCTCGGCCACCGAACTCCGGAAGGTGACCAAGTGCTCCCTCTTCTTCGGGAAACTCGTGTTTGCTATCACCAAATCAAATGCTCTAGTAAAGTCCAGCAAAGACGTTCCTCCTCCGTTTCTATCTCCAAAACCAAAGCCACCATGCACATCAGCCACCGAACTCCAGAAGGTGACCAAGTGCTCCCTCTTCTTCGGGAAACTCGAGTTTGCTATCACCAAATCAAATGCTCTAGCAAAGTCCAGCAAAGACGTTCCTCCTCTGTTTCTATCTCCAAAACCAAAGCCACCATGCACATCATCATACTCCCAGACGACGCTCCAATGTGGCCGTTAAAATCTCAACCTATGAAAAGTTTCTCGGTATGCGGGATACCACACACCATCTCATCCAAATCCTCCCAGAAACGCCTCTTGACTTCCTCATCCAAGCCTGCGTGGGGTGCGTACACACTGATTATGTTCAAAGTAAAACCTCCAACAACTAGCTTAATAGTCATCAACCTGTCATTCACCCTGTCATTCACCCTTTTAACCTCCACCACTAGTTCACGGAGGTCCTTATCAACCAAGATATCTACCCCGTTCGTGCCCCCACCCTCCCAGAATACCAAAGTTTGAAACTACCCACATCCCGCGCCTTATCTCCTACCCACCTAGTCTCTTGTACACAAGCTATATTAATCTTCCTTTTCTCGAGAATCTTCGCTAACTCTACATATTTTCCAGTCAAAGTTCCTATGTTCCAAGACCCCACTCTCAGCCTAGTAGCTCCCTTAGCCCTCTTACCCCCTTACCCTCCGCACCCCCTCCCTTAGCACTCTCAGCCTAGTAGGTCAACAAGCTCAGAGAAAAATTTCTTTGATAAGAAATCCACAACAATCGTATAAAAGAATCACTTGGAGACCGAGGTGGTAAGAAGCTAGGAGGGCCAAAAGAGGAAAGTGTTCCATTGTCCTATTCCATGTGATTGCAATGGTGGAGGAGAAAAAATATTAACGTGGAGTTATTTTGGCAGGGAAAGCATCATATTTTGGTTGTGTTTGAACTTTTGGTAGAATTTTTTAAAAGTCAAAAGGATTAATGAAGTCATATATTAGAATCTAGATTTATATAGAATAGGATAAGCAAATCAATGTAATGATGTCAAGTGTCATAATAAAAATTCAACAAGTGTTAAATTTTAGGACAAAATTAGTTAGGTTAGTTAATAATTAGTTACTCTTTTTGAATTTGAATTTAAAATAATTTAAAATAATATATATATATATATATATATATATATTTGTAAGAAAACTACTTTAAAAATGAATAAAATATATAAATATATAACTTCAATGTAGATATATATAAAATAATAAGACTAATTTATTTTTTGAGATGAGAAAGTTTTTGAATAATAATTCATACGGTCATGTTATATGCTATATGGATAAGATAAAACTAAAGACAAAAACATAAAAAATAATTTTAAAAAATATGAAGATATAATTTAACTTCTAATGTAGTAATCTTAATAAAAAAAATTAAACGTTCAGATTACGTACAAATCTATCTATATAGAATAGGAGAAGCAAATCAATGTAATGATTCCGAGTGTCACAATAAAAATTCAACAAATGTCGGACAAAATTAGTTAGGTTAGTTAATAATTATTTACTCTTTTTAAATTTAAATTTAAAATAATTATATATATATATATAACTTCAATTTAGAGATATATAAAATAACAAGACAAATTTATTTTTTGAGATGAGAAAGTATTTGAATAATAATTCATATGGTCATGTTGTATGCTCTATGGATAATATAAAACTAAGGACAAAAACATAAATAATAAATTTTAAAAAATAAATAAAATATATGAAGATATAATTCAACTTCTTATGTAGTAATCTCAATAAAAAAATTAAACTTTTATATTAAGTACAAATGGGAAGAAGAATTCAATTTAATTTCTTATTACAAATAATACAAAAATAATAATTATTATAATTATTAGTACATTTATGACATTTATTAGAAGAACTTATCTGTTTAACCTTTAAACTAATTCAATACCATCCATTAAGAAAAATAATATAATAATATTTGTATTGTAGTTAAGCACTAAATAAAAAATCAAAATATTGTAGAATAATAACTAATGTATAAAGAGGAGAATATTATAATGTGATTCTCTCCACACTTAAAATTTAATTGATAAAATTAAGTAAATAAATAATACTCAAAAATATTATTGATAAAATTAAATATCGAACTAATTATGAGAAAGTCATACAGGATAAAGTCAAGTTATATTTCAAGATTAATACAAAATTATATTCGTTGTATTATATTAAATTGGTAATTTATTAAAATTTTATATGATAATTTAATAATATTAAGTAATAGATAATACAATCATATAAGCAATAAATAAAAAAATATATAAATTTATGGGAAAATATAAAAATATAATACCTATAATTAGAATTATGATGAGAAAAGTCGTACATATACACATAATTAAAATCATAATAAACAAATAGTTATAAAGGAAAAATACTAAAAAAAAGAATTTGAAGCGATAGTACCAAATTAGTAAATGTATAGTACCAAGTACTTGCAATTTTAATAAAAGATAAATAAGGAATAAATAATTTATTTGATTACTATATGATGTGTATTCTTTGATTATGTATAGATTTTATTATATTTCTGCACACTATATTAAAAAGTAAAATAATAACTAAGATTTAATAAAATAATATAATATATTAGATCATAATTTTACAAGATTAATATTACGTCAAATTATCCGCGCATCGTGGGGGTTCTAACACTAGTGTGTCTGAAATACACAACATCTTATATTCATTGAACTAGGTTTTCAGAGATATTCTGTATTTAGTAGAATATTTACTTGCCTTGTTAGGAGTAGAGAAGAATTTAACATATTGTTGTGGCAAAGATCAGTTGGACCAGACTATAAAGTAGCCCAAATCTTCACCAGCACACGATTGCCTAATTTGTGATCAGATGTTAACGAAGAGATTGGGTCTCTACTTCTCTTCTATGGGTTCCCAGGCTTACTTAAGGAAAGGTCCTAACTAAACGAGTCATGTATGGAAACTTTTTGTAGGGAACTGGACTTAGGCTAACATTGGCTAGTCCTAAGACAAGGAAAGCACTAAGGGATGTGGCAAAAAAGCGGGAAAATAGCTGAAGCCAATTGAATTTGACTGATCAGTTGTGCATATACTATATCCAGAACTGTGCAAGATGTGTTATACAAGAAAAGATAGTCTTTAACAGGCTCAATTTATCATCCAAGTCGGAGATGGTTCCAATGAAAAACAAATTATAAACGCCAAATATACGGAAACAGAAAAAGGCATAAAGTGAAGCAAACAGTTTAAATATGCAATAGGATATATTAGATCCGCTTGGGAACAGAAAGAGAGGGCGTACAACACAGTTGCACCATATATGGTAGCAGAGGATACCTTCGTAATGGTAGGACCAAAAACATATGGCTCAGAATCGAACTCTGGAAAGCGTGCAACCTCTATAGCATTCTCAAATAGAATGTACACTGGAAGTTGGTTCAAGCTTCCTGCATTAGATCTCCAAATGAACCAATCAATACAAAAGTCAAACTAAACAGGATTAGCACTTCAACACCACAAAACCAATAAATCCAGCTCATATAACTCATGTAACGGTAGAATAAACAATAACACACCAAGAGGAATGCCAATTTTTTCAGCAGCATTAGGGAAGAGTCCAATATCAACCGTCCCAAAAGATAAATTTGCATTTGAGTATCTGTTCAAGAAAATATATATGAAAGTGCATTTCCAACAAACAAAAAAAGCTCTCAAAAAGTACAAATTTGGGTGAACAAATAACTAACTTCATAAAATGCTTTTCGTAAGTTTGTATGATAGTTTTGATCATAATGGAGCATAGCACTCACGTTATTGAGAGTTCTGGGAAAAAGGAACTTGTGCATACGCAAGCCGGTGTGGAGAAAGCACGAAATTCGACCTGCCAAAGGTGACTATCAGTAAAGTATAAGAGGGAACAAATACAGATATTTGTATTAGTTAAACATTCTAATCAAGCAGCATGCTTGCTCTATTTAGCATCATTTACTCAATTCATTTACTGTAATTTTGAAAGAATTTTAACTAAATTTGCTAGTTTGCTTCTGTAATACATACACGGAAGAATCTGAAGAAAAAAAAGAAATAGATATATGGAAGAAAAGGGAGAGTATGAATTGACGGAGAGCACTTAGGCACAACAAGAATAAAGTTAACAACATAGTGCTGACAACAGTACAGATCCAAGAACATTCAAAGTTTGTTTGCTCAACTACTCAAGGAATACAGGATAATGCAAAAGCTTATATAGCAGAAAGGAGATTTTCAAAGACCAGGTCTTTGTAAGTTTCTGTTCACACAAATACCTTTCAAGAGTATGCACCAAATCTCCTAAGCTTTCACAATCACTAAAATAGAAACATTTATGCTTTTTTACCTTCAGAGGGCCACAACACTAAGTAGAAAATACATACAAAAAACTGCAGAGAACCAACCAGCCAAAATCGTGATGTATTCCCTTCAGTAAGCAAAGTCTCCAACTGCAATGGTGTCAAATGATTTGAAGAACCTGGACATTTACATTAACACTCAGTGTACCTTTTTATTTTATTTTTATAACCACACTCCGTGTACTCTATTATGCCAAGATAACTATAGAAAAAACTATTGTAGCCTCACAGGAAGCTTATCTAAGTACGGTAAACCAAACAATAGGAGTAGCAAGAGTACCTAGTCCTTCATATGGAGGCTGCTGCGCTATAATGTGTATAACTGGAAGGAAGAAATCGACAAAATGAAAGAATTAGATAAAATTACCAAGTTCAGACGATATTCTCAAATAAGCGTAACAATGAAATTGGAAAGGTTAAGAAAGTCAGTAAGTCATCCAACTACTAAATAGATTCCTCATAGTGCTTATACATGGATCGCATTATGACAACAATCTTAGTGTTTTTTAACCTTCCCATCAAGTTTCAGCTAGATTTTATCGGAACTGAAAACTAGAGTAGGACCCACCTAGAAATGCCACTGTGTACCAAAGCGCCAAGTGATAATCCAAAACTAAAGCAATGGCAGTAAGGAAAATCTGAAAAGAATCAATTTTGAGTTAAATATTACCAAAGTAAATAATAAGAATTTAATGGAAGCTATAAAGGAACACTTGGCTGCAAATAGTAATGAAATTAAAAAACAGAATTCCCATAATAAATATGATGTTCAAGTATGCACAAACTTAGTAAGTTAAAGATTTGCAAATCAAGTTATCAAAAAAGCTAAATATTTGCAAATTAGAAGTAATTCGTTCTGAACAAAATTGAGTCATATTCAGTTATTTGAAAACATAATATGCATCATGATGACAGAGAGCAGAATAATATGAAGATAAAGGGAGTAAAAGAACAGATATAACCTTAGCAAAAAATAAAGTATCATGAATGAAGGATTCCCAGCTTTCTGTCTTTACAATCTGTCATGCATAAAAGTAAAACAACAATGTCAATTCAACAAGTATACATAGATTTCTCCTTTTCAGGTCACAATTTTTACCTTCACAACAGCCAAGACGCAGTATGCAACAAACACTTGAATTTCCTGCCAATGAAACAGCAAACTGTCAGCATATGCACAAATGAAAGTATGAGTGAGTAATAAACTGAAACTACCCAAGGGTGTGGCTTAGTGGTCAATGCAGTGGGAGGAAAACCATAGAGGTCTTAGGTTCAAATCCTAGCGGAGTCAAAAAAACACTAGTGATTTACTTGTGCCGATGGGAGGTAGCACATACCCGGTAGGATTGTCAATGTGAAAATTTTTCAAACAATTATATTACATAGGAAAATCATTCTCATCATCTATTGTTTTGTATCAATATGGCTGCACATACAAAAAAACCTTATGTAAATAAAGTGTAAAGTGAGACTCAAGTAGAGAAAGGGCAAATACTCGTTTAAGAAGGAAAGAGTTGCGAGCAGGAGAGAGGAGCTGAGAAGCGGAGAATCGAATGGGGATGTAGGAGAAGAAAACGAGCAAGTGAAATAGGTAATAAGGCTCCGACACCATCCGATTTAACGATCTCACTGGATCGTAAGTATATTCCTGATTTCGTTGAACACACGGTCCGCCATTGTTGTTTTTTGACATAGCTTTTGCTTATGCCAATGATCCGACTTCGTATAGCTTCTTTGTTGAAAAACCAGAGAGCTTACTGAGTTTGTAAAATGCGAAATGCTAAAAATTATTTCACTTGAACTGGGAAGAAATCTAAGGCACCCAGCTTGATTAGATTTTAGAACTTGACCCAGTTACTAAAGTGAGAGTTATTTGCGTTTTGCACCCTAATGTATGCAACCTTTTTAATATTGTACCATATTCTTTTATCTTTTATTATTATTAACTTCCTAACATATCTATTTCGTTGCAAAATTATAGAACTTGTTCTCATTTTATTTTTCTAGAAAACTGGTGATTTTATATTAGTGCATCAACATAACACATTATACAAATGTACCTTTAGCATCTCGTACAATCAAACTTGGAAAAAACTTATCCCAAAATATTACTTTCAAGGAATAAAAAATCTAGCTAAACAATGAGATGTTTTTGCTCAAACTTCTAGGAATATATACAAAATCAACATGATGAAGCAAGTTGGTTAGCTCCCAAATATCTTCATATGTCACTTCTATCTCTCGTGAAATAGCTACTAGTTTCTGTCTTATGATTAGATAGAATCTTGATAGTCTTCCAAATATTACTAATAGCACATTAAAAGCCTCATTTCTATCTCTCATGAATTAACTAGTCGTTTCTACATTATATGAACAATATTCTTAGGGTAAGATAAAATCTTCACATTCTTCCAACTATTACTAAAAGCACATTGAAAAGCATTTTTAAGCACATTTAAAAGCGTTTTTTATAGCAAGCGCTCCAGCAGTCATGACAACACCAATATTGTCCTTTCTATCATCAAGAAAAAGCATACATGATTCAATCAGCCAAGACAATTTATTTCATTGGGAACAAAGAAGGGGAGGGGAAAGGGAGAAATGGAAATCCAAGTAATGGATTGACATTCATATTTGGGGTATGATCCTGTATTCCTGTCAGAATAAATATTACATCTTGTTTAATTTTCCTTGAAAACTTCATCTGTACAAATATAGATTGCGTAAGTAGTATTTTCTGCGAACTTCCATATTGAAGAATGAGGATATAATCCGCCCATAGTCACGTTATAAAATATGGTGTTAATGTGTAACCCAGACAAGCTGTACAACAAGATAAGTATATAAAGCTTCAAATCATTTAATAATCCAAGCTAAAACTATCTTCTGATACATACATTAGCATCAGCCATGCTCAAAATAAAGGCATACACACTGATAACTCATCATTGCCGAAAAACATAATTGATCTCAGGTTCTTTTCCCCACTCTACATCCCTCCCCCTTTTCGCATTTAGTTCGTGCATAATATTGACATGATATATACTAGTACTAGTACGTGGATTGGCAACTGTGTCGCCTTTCAAGCTAAGACATCTAAGAAGTTCTTGTACCCATTCATGGCTAGTCTTCTTCAATCACCTCCCTGTTCTCTCCTTTACATGGACCATAAGCTCTACTACAAGCAATATAACACAGTAGGTTAACCACGCTTAATCCTGCAAGAACCAAATAATAGTAGTCGAAATGACCCTTGTTTATATTGCTTGATACCCAGCTCTCCTGCCCTCCTCCTCCCGTCAATTCGTTGATAGTACTCATTATAAAGCTCGCTAGTAAGCTTGCCACTCCCATACCAACTCCTAATAGAGCAGAAGCTACACTTGACATGCTTCTAGGAAATTCTGAAATATAAAATTCGTTTTGGCCGATGGCATTTAGGGCCTCTGCAAAGCCACCAAGGCAATTTTGGGGAAGTAGCCACATTGCTGACATAGGGATCACGCTTTGTGGATCATCCGAGTACCCCTCCTTGATTGCAATACTTCTCCGGACACCTTCCACAACTGCCATCACTAAGACTGACAGGAAGGAAAGAAACATCCCAAACCCCATTCTCTCTTTCGTGCTGAAATGAGCAGGTTTCCCGGTCAATTTTGATGCTATGGGAAGAACCAAACGATCATAGAGGACAATCCAAAGAATAGCAGCGATGACAGCAAAGATTCCAAAGGAGGCAGCTGGGATTTCAAAGCTTGAACCTATATGCCGATCCATGGTAGTCGCTTGAAGTACTGGAAAAGAGGTCTGGCTTATATTTATGTTCATGATAGCTCCCGTCAACCAGATTGGAACAACATTGAGTAGTGCTTTCAGCTCCTCTACTTGATCTACAGTGCAAAGACGCCAAGGATCTGTTGCTTCTCCATCTGGGCTCAAATCCAGCTGAGGATCTTGTACAATGCAAGCCTTATTCAGAAACCTAAAGGCAAGAAATTGAAGATAAAATGCAATACAAACAAGTATATCAGGAACAAAAAAACATCCAGTAGCTTTATGAATATTGAACAGCATGACATTAGGACCCTTAAACAATAAAAAGCTGGATACAGGAGCACATTGAGTTATATTTGTTATCAGCTAACACAGGTCGATGCAATGAACTTCACAATTTCCTATAGAGGTGAGAGAAGTGCAACAGTAATAAAATGATGGATCACATAATAGTTTAGTTCAGGATGAAAGAGCATACAGGCTAAATAAGCAAAAAATAATTTACCATATTGATAGGTTCTTTTTCAAGCATATACAGAAAGTAAGATGACCAACAGAAAAGCTAACAATTGGTAAGAATGAAGTTACCTAAGTTTTTCACTAGGAAGAACTATCACTGATCCTTTCTTCTGATGGTATAGCATATCTTCACTCTGTGACGACAATCTGAGACATCTATTTCTGTAAGAGGCTACAATCACTTGAATTAACCCAGTGATTAAGCTCGATTTAGGCTTCAGCTTCACGTAGAATGGATTACCCAAAAATATTAAAAGAGTTGAAAACAACATTAGCAAAACAGGAGCTCCAAAACCTAAAGCCCACCCCATGTTGACTTGGATATAAACAAGACACGTGAGAGAAACCAGGACAGACAAAGCATACACGGCATAGTACCAGCTGAAGTAGCTCTCTATTGCACGCGCATTTTCTTGATATACTTCCCGTTTCAACTGATCCGAACCAAATGCTAAAGATGAGGATTTGATTGCACCTGCTCCAATGGCAACGAGGCCCAAAGAGGAACACAGGAAGAAGAGTTGGAACATCTCTGCTGATCTGCAAATGCTGTTGGAACCGATACAGGGTGGAGGTCTTGCTTGCGGAATCACTGATGTCAGCCAAAACAGAAACATCCCCTTCAAAACACATTGAATATCTAGAATTATAATTGGTGAATTTACCAAGTTTAAGCAGATCATTATGATTCTTCATATTACAAATTTGCAACAGATGGGTGATAATGATTCCTCCAATTCTCAAATTTTGAAGAAGGATCAAGCAATTAATGGTGATTGCTACCTCCTCCTCCTTCCCTCAAGTCAAAAGCTGATGGCTCAGTCGCATCAAATGGGAACACAGGTTGTGCTTTTATTTGCATGATCATACTGGTAAGTTTATGGCTGCTATTTCTAAAACTTTGGGTAAACATAGAATGACATTTGCCGAGACTACATGATATTCATGTTAATCGCAGCTTTGTATCAGAGGTGGATAATTGAATGTGACCCTAATTTGTTAGTTACAGTCATACAAGGTGCTGCAAACATACAAAGGCAAATACAAGATATTGTGCTGAAGATTAAATACTTACTGAGCCTTCTAACCTACAAGTTGAATTATTGTTATGGTGAGGCCAATCGAAATAATAGATTACTTAGCTAAACAGTGCTCCTTGAATGTGGAGTCTGAATTGCCTTTGGCTGTACTAATAGCTGCTTTGCTAAGTCTACTTCGTTCAAATGCTGCTCAAGCTCCCGTATTTAGGTTCATTAAGCTTGGACATTAGTTTCTCTTTACAATATACTCAAATCTTTTGCACAGAAGAATCCTTTCCTTCTTGCATTTACTTACATGTACATGCATCTATTTGTAAAGAGATTGGGGTTTGTCCATTTCTCTTTTAGGCATAGAGGAGGAAAGGTCCCCTTCCCTTTTGTACAAATTTTCTAAAATATTACTAATAGAATATCTCACCTAGAGCTCCAAGGTTGAAACTAGTTTCTTAGAAAAGATTATGGGAATATAATTAGGATTAGGACCTAAAACGGATGGCTAAAATGGTTACTTCCTGTAACTTCTTACATATTGCACTTTGTACATCCCAGTTTTAGACTGACTGCACCAGAGTCTGGCTCAATAGCTTTCTAAGCACTACCGATACTGTCTCAGTTAGCACACCACAATGACAAACTAGACCAAGCTATCACATTCAAATCACAAGACCTGTAATTCATTAAGACGATCTCATCTGAAGGACCTTCTTCCTAATGTCTTAAAAAGGCAATCAGTCAAATACAAGCTATTTGTACATTAAACAAAATAAAGAAAGGAAACGAGTTATATATGGACATTCATACTGTCGCCATCGTCTAAATGAAAGTGTGGTAAACAAGACTAATGGATGGGAAGGACACGTCTCACACACGTAAGTGACAAACACTAGTATACAAATATAAAAGGTCCAGAAGATTCCATAAGGTTCATCATAGGTCATAATCAACCAACAAGCAATTAAAAAGCATGAACTTTACCACAAGGGTAACAACAGATCCCAGTCCTATCATCTTGAACCGGCCCACAAAAGAATCCGCCAGAAAGGCCGCAAGAACTGGAGCAATGTTGGTAGTTGCTGACCAGATGTAAAGAATGTTGGACCCAGTAGTCATATCCATGTGATATTCATTCATCAAATACAGAATCAGATTAGGAGTTAGAGCATTAGTCGCCGCATTCATCAAAGCCGCATTTCCTATTCAAAATCAGAAAAACAAAAGGCCAAACAGAGAATTAGAAGACTACCCATCTGTTTCATTGGAATCTCCAAGCACAAAAAAACTACTCCCCCGTCCCATTCTTTATGTGATGCAGGTTGACTTCACTTTGACTGGGCACGGAGTTTAAGAAAGAAAGACTTTTGAAACTTGTGATCTAAAACAAGCCACAATAGATATGTGTGGCTATAAATCATCTAATAAAGGTGAAATGGGAAGTTAAAAATAAATTATTTCTGAATATTAAAAAAGATAATTCTTTTTAAGACACACTCAAAAGGAAAGTGTTTCACATAAATGAGGACGAAGGGAGTATCAAAT